CTTGCTCGTTCCTCTTCGGTTTCACCCTTCACGCATCACGAATCTTCCTCCATTCGCATCCTTTTACTTCCACGCTGCTTCCTGCCGCGACGCTTCACCCGAAAGTCGTCGAATCTCTGGCTACGTGTATCCGCGTTATACCGATCTGATCCGGTTTCCGTCGATTCCTGCCCTTTATATAATAATGCTCGAGGTTTACACTTTCTGTCCTCGACAAATCTCTCTAACGTTTAAACGGCAGTCAACAAAGCATTACCATCACCTTTCCTCGATTTTTTTTTTTTTTCGAGTCACAACTTACGACTCGAACTGTCTGTTTACACGCCTCGGAGACAGCTGCGTAGTTACAACAGGTTGAAAATGATGTTCGAAAAAATACGTGATACAGTTCCACGAGACAAATACAAATGAGATTATTAAAGTTCGTGGAAACGGACTGTTATGATGGTTCTCTGGCGAGGAGAAAACTTGTTGCAAGAGGATTTACAGATCGATACGGACGGCACCTCACGAGCGGAACCACCGAACAGGAAACGCACTCCGCGCCATTACCGAACGAACCTCTGCCGAGAGCGAACCGATCGCGAACAACCGCGCGAGTGTCGCGTTCGTTGGCGAATTCGAGCAGGTCGTCGCGACGACGATAAGCGCAAGACTAAAGGACGACGGCATCCGCCCGGTTATATACCCGGCGCACTCTGACCCGCAAAGCCGCGCCCGCGCACAAGCCACCCCGGGGCATTTCCCTCTTGCCTTCTACGCTGTCTCTCTCTCTCCCTTTTCCTCGAGGCCACCTTACGTCGCGTGCTCGCTTTCCTCGCGAACCTCGTGTTTGTTTACCTGCGTCTTTTCCCCAAAATCTCGCTATGAAACCGAGATCCGACGATCTGCTCGCTCATCGGTCAGAGTCGCTATGGACGAGCTCATCGGAAGCAGTTTCGAGGTTTCGAGCTTCGCTTCGAGTTGGAGTATTTCTGGTTCTGAAAGATGTGAAAATTAAAAGACAGTTAGGTAAGTTGGTAAAATGTCAGTAAGTTGATTGTGGTAGTTTGGGAATTTTTTCACATTTCACGGCGAGATAGATCATAAACACTGTGTTTTAAAATCTTAAAACGTGACGTGAGAATTTCGTAGAGGTTAATTCGTAAGACGATCGTTCACTTCGTGTCTAGTGATAGTAAACCAATCTAGATTTCGTCGTTGCCAGAAAATTAAATTTTTGATATTTCAAATAACTTCTCTTTTCTTTTTTTTTTTTCTTTTCTTTTCGTAAGTAATCTTCTTAAGAAACGATAACAATATTTTCTACGTTATATGGAAATAATTGAATATTCGGCTAAATGCGTAGTATCATTAAGAATACTTAAAGCGATTAGTTATTATACGTTCGTTATATTCACAGAAAATAATTTCGTTTATTCTTTTGTCACTCGATTTAATGAAAACCATCTTTCTCTGGATTACTTTGCACAAATATAGATCATAAAATTGCATTCTTTAAGAAGACTATTTAAGGAATTAAATCCTTCGAGAAGGCTACTTAAATGATTACTCTACTAATAACATCAAAAGGAGAGACCTTATACAAAATTCATTTTTCTTCCTTCCTTATTCCGTTCCTTTCGAATTAACAAACTGCTGTCTCTTAAATTTTTATATTTTATATAAAGATACGAAAGATCTTCTTTGATACTGAGCGAGGTAAATGTTTTAATTTTTTAGTTACCGTCTTTAATTCTTTAACCGTGTCATTCAAGTATCGTACCATTTATGCATATTATCTTATTGCGCCTTTTTCGCAGTAATCTGACACAGATATCTTCTTTAATTACAATTTGTCATTGGAAACTTAAATTTCTCATTCCGTTTCTCACGAATCTCTTCCCTTCTTCATTTTTAAATTACGCTTGATATTGATATTATCTAATACCAATTATATCTACTAGTGTAAGAAGAATAAATTTTTCTTGATCTATTAATTTTAATTCGAATGAACTTTGTCGCTTTTTTTCGACGACAAGAAAATATAAATGATGAGTCAAGATAAAAACTTTTAGAATTAACTTCGACTGAACAATTCGCTAAATAATATGTTAAACGTATTTTCCAAATAAATTAAATCAACTGTTTGCTGAATATTTATATCGGAATTATTGTCACTATCGTTTTCCATACAAATTTCCATCAACTTTTAAAAAAACAATTATCGAAAATGAAATGATTCGTTTATACGAGTGTGAGAAGAGTATACAACTGCTCTCACCTTGTTGTTCATGCTTTTTCCAAATTTCACTCTAAAAATTCAAGATCATAATATATTTGTATTTTATCTTAACAATTTCGCATTACGCGTGTGATTATTTTCCTAAATGCAATTTACAGCTATGCAAACATCGACATCAAAAGCGATATTATTCCATATTATTCCGACAGAAATGAAGAGTCAAAGTGTGTAATTATTTCTCGTTGTAACGAAACGTTCACGAGTCCTCGCGATTATTGAAATCAAAAACAGAACTGGCCATTTACCGGGGGCGAAGGAAGAGCCGGAGTATGTAATCGTTCCTCGTTATTGGCTGCCTAAATGCGCACACGGGGCAGGATTACGAGGGATCAAACGGAGGAGAGCGAATCGGTGGCACTCGAACCACCACCGAACGTAATGAGGATACGAGCTCGTTACGAAGACGATGATGCGATAAAGAGCTCGCCGTAGGATAGCATTGCAAAGTGTTACAATAGAGACGCGTTTCATCGCGGTTATGGAACGTTTCTCGTTTCCACGACACTCCTCGTCCATCGAGCGGATTCGTTCGTAGAAAACTGCCTTCGAACGCCGTTCGAGTACGTACAAATGGCAAAAGTCGAATTACGATTACTATAAACGTTGGACGATCGTGGCCGTTATCGTGATCGACGCCGTAAAAACGATACTCGTTTGCCCGGGCGTAAAGAAGGAAACGTGGAAAATATCAAAGAAGAAAGAACGCGCCAGCCAACTTTACTCACGTACACAGTTCGTTGCGAATGTATTCGAACCATTTACAGGAACTTTCTATGAATGTATTATGTGTGCGTTATGTAAAACATTTCGATATTTTATCAATACTGTGGTCTGATTGTGTCGGTCAAATTTGAAACAAATGTAAAAGATATGTAGAATTTGTGAAATATCTGATAAATCACAATCTTTAATTCTTAAAATCATTATTCACGTTGTATACTAGATTTGTTGCTAAATATGTGTTTTTAAAAACTATAATAATCTCTATGTAGATTATCAAATTTGTTATCACTGTCGTCTCGTTAGACTGACAATGAAATTCGAAAGCGTTTTATATAACACGCACAATATTGTAAAAGTTCTTCTAAATGTTCGAATATCTTTGAAATTCTACAAAAAAAAAAAAAAAAAATATAGTACTCATATTTTCGGAGATGTTCGCGTAAGTTATAAGACCGATGCTGTATACGTGCCCACAGTATGAACTCACGAACAATACACCCGTGCCGGTTTTTCGACGCCTCACACCGTGGAAAAATAAGCTCCGATCGATCATGGAATTTCGGCCTGTCGAATCTACAACGCTTTATCATCGAAACGATTTGCCGAACCAAACATCAGCGTCGATCCGCGACGATATTGCTCGCGTCGACAGGCCAATCTTTCAATCTTGCGTACAAACGACGCGCGCGCCTAAATTAAATAACCGTGCGATTTCCCTAGTGAAAAATCGGTGAAATTAATACAACGCTACGAAATCCATTCCGTCGCAATCGAGACAATCATCATCCTTTTGCCGGCAGAGATTTTTCGATATTCCAACGCGAAAGGAATCTGGAACCTTATAAATTACATAAGAATAGTTGTAGCTATATGCACATTTTAGAAAAACGATGAAATGAAACTGAAGTCAGACTTGATACAAAGTTTTATATTCTATATGTTTACTTCTTCAAGCGTAAGTGTTGAATGGCAATAGTAAGATAACAGAAGACAAATCCTAAAGTGCTTAACTTAGAAACCTAAATTTTGGATTTCGATGTTTAATATTATAAGATGTCTGTTCAATATCTACTCTTTTACACAAACAACGAGGGAAATTTTGTCTGTAAAAAAGGGCACGTGTTTTCGTTTGAAAAATGAACATAACAATCCTGCACATGCAATGTTCTTTGAAGCATTTGTGCAATTGCACTGAAAGAAGAGTTATTTTAAACACCTGTGCGAGCCACCCTTTACGTAATGTTAATTTCCGTTTAACGAAAAGTTGATGCGTATGTTCGCACGATGGTCTCTTTGATGGCGAGTATTTAATAATGTATCCACTCGATGTTAACGTGCCAAAGGAAATGAAAGATTCTCTAGTCATCGTGGAAAGATGTCGGAGTATTACGAATGTAATTCCGGTGGTGACGTGGGACAGGAAAGCAGAGACAGTAAGAAAAAGACGCGATAGCAATTTCAGCAAGGTTGGCTCGTGGCGACTATGGCTCGTGCCTATCTATAGCACAGGGTGGTTTAAACTTTTCGCTCACGCAGAACGGAAGATCCGATTAGGAAGCAGATGGACAAGGAATTACCATCGCAAGTAGTCGTCGTCATTTCAAAAGCGTGATTCTGTAAAAGGATTACTAGGAGAAATCTGGATTTCTTTCGTTTACAGATTTCGAGGATCGAAACGAACTTGACTCGATTAGACTCGATTTATGTTTACTTTCGCTTCCATCTTGTAGTTTTGCAGCTTCGTTAGAAATTACTATCAATTGTTGAAGAGAAGAGTATTTACATGAGTAAATATTCTTCTTGTTTCCTAATTTGCTAACCAAGCATATTCTCTAGATCCGTAATAAATGGACAAATACTAATTTGCATTACACATAGTTCAATCAATAAAATTTTTATTTATTTCGAGACGAGGCCCTCTTCTACAAAGCCGATACTACCGCTGAACAACGCGATGGCCGTACGAAACATCGCGTACCAAGTAAAATCCCCACGAACGATCACAGTGTTCAACGAACCAGCAACGGGAATTCATCAAAACATCGTAACGGTGCGAGGTCTCTGGTGCCAGAGACAGCTCTCTGGTCCACCACAATGGAGAACTTTATGGACAATCAAAGGTAGAGAACATTCGGTGAGAAGCGACGAGAGAGAGAGAGAGAGAGAGAGAGAGCATATATTTAATTAATGTAGTCACGAGATAGAGACACTGTATACATACTCGGACTGGCTATTCTTGCAGCAATTGTGTAAGTTGCTGGCACAACCTGCACGTGCATGTAAATATACACACGAGCGAAATCCACAAGCACGAACTTACACGCGCGTGTGCGTGCAAGCTGTCGAATTCGCCGCAAAACTTGTGCATTTCGTGCCATGACTTGACTATCCAGACGAGTCGACGAAGGTACGAGTGTCCGCAATTTCCGGTAATGTTCGCGCGAGAACGCTTTGACGAGGTAGTTCGCAGCGACACCGAAGCTCGTGACCGCGACATTCGACGAAAATTTACCGGTTGCTTTCCACCATCGTACGACACCTTTTGGTCTTTTCTTCAAGGCGGGATTCCCTGCAAGCGTGGGAATCCCCCGATCATAACGATATATTGCAAGTTCCCCTTCTTCTATTTATCGCTTATCTTTTTTCCATCTTCCGTTTTACTGATGAAACTTGACAACTATGCACAATTTTCAATTTCCATATTCCTATACCCCTTTTTTATACGTGAGCAGAAGCACATCTCTCTGATCTCTGCTAATCCTTCTAGACAAATGCTTGGTTTGACAAGCTAACTAACAAAGAAGGGAAGTGACAATACGCCTTTTAATTCAAGGAATTCCGAAATATGGATAATTTTTATATTCCTGAGAAAGAACACATTTCTCCATTGCATCCGATCTGTGCTTCTAGACTTCCTTACAGGAAGATCCCATCTTCGCAAACGCAAGCGGAAAACACATACGTCCTAACATCTGCGTCGAACATACATAGGAAATCCTTCGGCCTCTGGGTTCCTTGCTAGTCATCAAGAGGCGGAGTATCGGCTGGCTTACGAGAGAAAGGCGTAGACGAACCAGCAATTTCGGGCGAAATTTCTACGTAATCGGAACCCTGCCGAACATGCAGCAGTCCTTTTACATCGGGCCCCGCTACGTCGAATCGCATCCATTTCTGGGCTGCTCGTACGCTGCGTTTGTCGATCGGATTATTGAAATTGTCCGTGGCTCCGTTAATTCTTCGGGTCACTGCCGAGAGATCAACCGAGAACATTCTCCGGGCTTTTTGGGCTTGTTACGTTTCGGTGTCCGTCTGAATGTCAGGGGATGAGGTAAACTCCTTGGAAATGTTCGCCAGTGTCTTGAGTATTTTTGACTCCGGATGCCGATCGCGTCACGATCGATCGATTAAGTTTTTTGGCAGAGAATTTTACAATCTAAAATAAGTAGGCTGATTAACAACCAAGTCAGCTTAACCTGCCTCGAAAGCATTTTAAAACTTGCAAAATATGAAATTAATTTTTAATCCTCCTGGTCACCGCATGCGACGCGATTTCAAGTTAACGTGTACTTTCAAACTTCAAGATGGAATGTGAAGTAACTTCAGAAAGATTTCTCACGTTGTGAGAATTATGAAAACATTTTAAAGTTTCACAACTTCATTAACGTGTAATATTATACATAATGGAGATCGAATCTATAAACGTGTTAAATCACCTTTAATTCCCGACATTATTTATTACTTGTCCGTACCAATTTCCGAGAATTCTTGGTTATTTTCCAGAGCACATAAATCTGTCTGTTAAAGTAGGACGTTCCCGATATCGTTGTTCCTTCATAAAATTCACTTAAAAATGAGCAATTTGTCTATCTATCTATTTAGAAGGTAACTGAATACAGGATGAAACATCATTTAATTAGACCTTAGATTCAGGTAAACAACTACGAAGGAGACGCGTAAACCATCGTATACGAGTGAGGGATGTATAAGGAAAAGTTAAAGAAGGAAATTGGTTAGGAGCGACAATGAACTTTATACCTGCCAGCATACAGGTATTCAATCTTGAACCGCGCCGATCAACAACCGATCCTCAATAGATTGGATTACACGTGAAAGGCGTAGATGTAAGTTTGATGGAGGAAAGTTTCTCAAGGGAAGTGCGCTAACATCGAGGAAGGACATGGTTCCTGCGTCAGCACTGATCTTGCGACAACAAACTTCGTACCCCAACAACAAAACGGGTGTTGATTAAAAGGGATTAACTCGCTGGAAAGTGAGAATTTTTATCGTTCGCGGGTTGACTATTTTCAGAAAAAAATCGACGAAAGTAGAAAATTGTAATCTAATAATTTTAAGAAAACAATGTGTCTACACGTAACGCGGGAAAAAAAAATCTACAAAAGCAATTCATAAGTTACTCTAGAATCAATTTCACCATCCACGGATTAGAATTGTAAAAAGTACATTCGACAAAGAAGAACCTCGAACAAAGTTGAAATTTCATAAAATCATATCATTCTTATATAATTTATATATATGTCTACGTCGACATCTTGAACGTCATCGTAATCAAATGTAATTATCAATCTTTGTTAATTACGCGAAAAAGTAGTAAGAACAATTTACGTCAGATGTCAGAAAGACAGATAGTAAGAAATCCGAATGACAAATAACTGCCTGCTGAATCACGCTCTAGATTCTACTTACGTTGCCAAAGGGTTGAGAACCCATTGTAATTTCCCCGGAGATTACGATAACAGGTCGTACGAACCTTAAAGAGCGCATTCAACGATCCCCTATCGACGATTGTGTATCCAGAGATAAACTTGAAACAAACTCGGTGGTTCAGCGAGGCCTTGTCATTTTTACGCGATATGGCCACTCGTCGTGAAAACGACGGCATAAAGTGACGCTGGCACGAAGAAACAAGTTACATTCGGGGTCGTGGCACATCGTCGATGTAATCGTCGGGCACAATCAACCATGAGAGGGTAAGGGATCCGGCCCGAGGCTTTGCCAGACCTCGTGTTCGAGCTTGCGAAGTGGCTTAAACCAGCGTGGCCAGACACCGAGTTGACGCAGGCTGTTCCAAGTTGCTGAGAGCTGGCCAAACACTGATACCCCGGAATTCGACCTAATAAATTCGCGCGTTTCTTGTGATTGACTTGCCATTACCAGCCAGCAACCGTCGCAATCTCTGATCAGCGGCTTAACACTCGAGAGAAGATTTGCCAACGAGGGTGAACCGCGGTAGAAGAAGGGGGACGAAAGAGGCGAGAAGAGGGAACAAGAGGCAAGCTTTCTGACGAAAGTTTCCGCACCGGGAGAGAAGGGAAGAGGGAGGCGGAGGCAAAGGATAAGCCGGATTAAGAATAGCCTTACGCGAATTCGTCGAATTATTTTCCCCTGGCGGAGGAATAATTACGCTTGGAAACGTCGCCTAACTCGTAACGTTAGCGCCACCGTTTCTAGAAAATCGCGTCACCGTGCACGAAGATTCTTACCCGACGAGTCGTCCGATCCGAATTGAATTCGATCGAGGATGAATAACAAACCAGCGAGGATACCTTTGTTGTAGTTGTTCACGGTTGATGATGGATTTGCGAAGACGTTTAATCTCTCGTTAGAGAGGATTGTTTAGGATTGGCGTTAGGTGATATATAGATGAAGGAGATATTCGGACGTACTTTTCGTTTCGAGATTGGCGGGACACTGATATTATTGGCATTTCATTAAAATTTCATTGTGTAAATTATTTGTAACGTTTAATTTTCCATTTCTCACGAAATGACGCGTAAATATGCGACGCGTAACGGCGTTGCATATTTATTGGGACTGCAGTTACAACGAGTTTGGTACGATATTTTTCAGATCAAAAACTGCCGAATAATTATGCAATTTAATTACAGAAGGTACTGCGCGTGATTATTCATTGCAGTTGTTTGGCATGCATTGTGGCTTCATTATTACTTTTTGCGGACAAATTAAATCACAAAGCCTGTGTAATTAAACTTTACATATCAAAACAACACTTCTACATTCTCATAACTTCAAACGCGTAGCGAAACGAAACGAATTGCATTAAACAATAATCATACATTGCGTTTATCTCGTTGAAGGGACAGTGAGGCGTCTATACTACGGCGAAAATCTCTTTAGAACTCTGCCTCTGTTTAGCCAAATCCCATTGCTTCGACGAAATAAACGGAAACACGGGTATCCAAGCGCGCAGATATATTGTAACCGATGCGACGGTAGTTTACAACGAGTCGTTCGTTTTCAATCGAAAGATTTCACGAGCGGGCAGGACAGTGCACGAACGATCGAAGGGAATGGCCCGCGAAGACCGCAGCGCGTTCTTTACGACCGGCGTGCACGTCGCACACGCGCGATTTCGAAACCGATCCACGGATCGAACGACACTTGTTCGCCTCGGGTTTTACATTATTTGCGCGCGGCGCGGTTCAACAACCGCACAACCGGCGTGCTTGGGCGTCGACGACACTTGAAGCAACGCGTCGATAAATCAACCGGCGGAAAATGAGGACGGAACGAGAAGACACGACAACGCGATTTCGACGCGAATCCCGTCGGTCCACTTCTGCTGTCTCTCCTTGTCGGCCCGTTTTCCACCGATTATTTACGGCTCGCAATTTGGGTCGAATACCGACCGCTCGTCGGAATTCACGCTCGTTCGTCATGCGAGGAAATTATTCCTAATTTAATGGAACGGTATGGTCACGCTGGTTGCCGAAACGATGACGCGATGCGGTTAGGATTGCGGGAGAAGACGTTTCGGTCAGATACAAAACAACCGTAAAGTGTCTGTGTTTTAAAAGTGCGGTGCAGCTGTATGGATACACTTCTTTGATTTTGATGTATGCTTACAACATTCTTAGTTTGTTGCTGTTAGTGTAAAAATTTTATTAGCTGTCAGTTTAATTTCAATATTGATATGTACGATCGCTTCACGTCTGAATAACTGCGGTAAAAGTCGTACGTATATTACCATTTCTTCTTTCATAGGAATTGAAGCAACCAGATGAGACTGAAGAAAATATTACATTGAACAAAATGTAATATCTCTACTTAATGAATTATTAGTGGTGCGGTGACAAAGTATGTGTGTAATTCACTACTTTCGTAAGAAATAAGTACGTGGAATGTGAGAAATGAAATTTTTCGTTTTGAAATTACATTTACATGAAATGTACCGCCATCTGTGAGCCGTTACATGTAACAACTTATCCCAGAAACGTAATATTCATTTTCAGCTGTAAATGCTGAAAAGTATTCGACACTTTTATGGTAATATTACCTTCAAGGTTTATCATCACTGTTTTCATTATTATTACATTAAATAGATATAAAACACAAAACATTTACATTTTATGTTTCATATGTGCAAAGACGAGAAAGGTATTCTCAAATATCATTTACATGTGACTCTACTTACCTAAGCAAATAATTAATCATGTGTTTCCATTTATCATCGTACGATTCAATAACAACTAATCTTCCAAAGTATCAAATTACAAGCTAAACTACCTCTACGAATCTCTTTATTCCTTTAAGACGACATAACAAATACAACTAACGCGAACACGAGAAACAAGATTGCGGTTATAATTACTCCGAAATGGCGGAACATTATTTACAGAAGAAAAGGGGTGAATTCATAAACGCGTGACCTAATCACTCCCCCTAAATTTTGTCTTGAAATTAGCTTCTCTATTCTAAAGGAGAAGCAGTACTATCTCGCGCGCACGTACTTACTCGTAATTACCCCGTTTACCATAAGAATATACTGTAATGGACAAATAAGATGAAAATCGTTAGAAAATTATTATTAAAACGTTCGAGCGAATATAAGTGCGAATATAAGAACGTAATGGATGCTAATTACGTTTGAGATTGTTTCGTACTATCCTCTTTATTCAAATGTGAGTTGAACACGTTGAGCCAAATCGTATTAAACACAGCGATAAGTTTCGTTATAAAAGTACGTAATTGTGTATTTTGGAAAATTTTACAACCGATATATAGTATAATAAAATGAATGCTGCAACTTCACTTTACAGTGTTTCACGATATTCTTCTCGCTCGAGTATTTGAGCATTAAATACTATGAGGCAATTCGCAAACAGATTGCAGATCTTGTAAAAATGTAGAGAATGTGCAATGCCCAAAGCATAGTATTTATACTATGTACATAATTGTAATAAACATTCAGAGAACTTTTCTACAATGTTCTTACATTTCTCACTATTCTACAATTCTTCCGAACATCTATCTCGCTGGATTGTGCAGTCTTCCATGGAAAAGATAAACAAAAACATCGGTGATGTTGTTTCTCGCGTTGTTACGAAATCGTATCATCGTATCACGCTCGAAAATGCTCCAGCTCGATAGAAATTTCGGTTCTCCCCCAACAGAATTTCCAGTCTATTACCGTCCCGTTCGCTATTCTAAAATTTTCACTGCGACAAAATTCCATCGATTTCGAATAAACAAATGCTGTTCGATCGGCGCTACTCTCTTTTTCTCCCTTACTCTCTGTTTCTCTCTGTTCCTCTGACGACCGGCGCGGGAAAACGTTTTTATCGGAGCGCCATTCGGGTACGAATGAAAGTCCCGCGACGAGTGTAGCACTAACATAACGTATATTTATCGCATCAGAGTATTCCTTCGAAATATTCACTATTCCATTTCCCGAGGCCGGATGCAGCTGGCCAGTTTTTCGCCGACTTTATATCAGTTGAACAAAAAGTTAACTATGATGCATCCGTAAAGCCGGAGGACGGGGATATCTCTCTCTCTCTCTCTTTTAGTTTGTAAGCGCCACGTTCGATCGGCAGTTAATACGTCAAATAAAAATTTCTCCGCACGGATCCACCGGCACTCGCGAATTTTTCAACTGCGACAATTCGCGATATTTTCACGCCGAATTTCCAGTCGAGCCGTTTCCAATTTGCTTTGAACTCATCAGTGCCCCTATAAAGCTTGCTCGTAAGTTCGTTGTGACTGATAAAATTTCGAAAAGTTGACAGAAGTCTCAGGTAGAAAATAATCAAACCGGATTAATCTGTTAACCGTGTCACTTCGTCATTCTGAATAATTGTGTAATGATAGAGTCCTAAATTCAAAAGTTAGTAAAGACAAACAAATATTGTATAAGGCTTTTCTCGCAAAACACTGAAGCAATTACTGTTTAGTAGAAAGGATATTATTAAAAAGTAAAAGATCTACGAG